GAGCGAAGTTGTGCAGCAGGGGCGATCGATAAACGGCAAACATGGACGAAGGCGCACCTTGAAAATCTCCAAATAGGGTACCCTGTGTTCACCTTTCAGTCGAGTCTGCAAGACGAAAATATCTGAAAATGAAAGAAATCAGGTAAAGAATCAACAGTCAATGATAGCTCCAAGTCCAAAAATTGTCGAACATTGAGAAATGGTTTAGAAAAAAAAAATGCTAAGTAAAGCTAGGCGGTAATTGTAGTGTGAAGTGGGTGTGTGGGTGGGACACATGTTTGTGTGTACCCGACAACCTTGCAGTGCATTCTGGTTCATTTGTCTGTCTGGTGAGTACAAAGCTTTACATATAATGTGTCTGCATTCTTAAACAATACCACCACTGCACCGACCTGCGATCACATTTCTGTCGGCCAATATCTCAATGTAGCATGTTAATTTTCTGATATTTTTTTCAGCAAATACTGTCAAAAATGTTTCGGAAACATGATCATAGTGAAGAGACATCTTAGAAACACTGACCACTGACCTTGGAAACGGTGAAATGCTGTTGAGGTGACCGCCACCAAAGCATGCAGGTGTCATGGCGGCCGAGTTCCTCTGTAGGGTTAGCAGTGTTCCCGCCAAAACTGCGAGGTGGGGAATATGCCTTTGTCCGTCTGGGTAAAATTTAGTCCTGACCTGGAATAAACAAATATAAAAAGTGAATGCTAGATTGTTAGAAGCGAGTTTTTGTCAATGTAATGTGTTATATGTTAAGCAAGGCTGAGAATCAATGGATGCTGTAATGCTAATGCAGGCCTACCATATACCGCCTCTCTTCCTACATTTCCAGACAGAAATCCAAAAAACCGTCGCCACAGATCGAGTGCGCCTCGACTAGGACAACCCCTGGACAAGGACAGAGAACAAATAATGACATCTCGGACAACATGTTGTTCCCACCTCCTATACCAGAGGATTTGTTTGGTCAGAGGCTTGGCAACAAATGGAGTGTCGTCGAGGATGACTACATGAACAAAGATGGCGGAGGAGAGGGCGCGAAACTGACAACCTACGACAACGCGCCCTAAGACAACGCAACCTAGGACAACGCACCCAAGTCGCAGCGACAGGATGTAACTATTTCCTAACAATTTTGTTAGAATGATGCTTATTTTATATGCACTAACCAAATTTTCTATAGATATTTTATGCAGATGTAGAAATCATAGAAACCTGAACATACTAGTCTGAGGTTTTTAGGGTAGTCACATTCACAATGAACATCTTAGTTGTTTTAAAAAAATCTTCTACGCATCTGTTTTACCCAATTTAATCAAATGTGATATGGAACACTTTCCACAGAACTAAGAATCAGTATATTTGCGAACTTTCCTTACCAGTCAGAAGAAACTTTCCAAAAGTTGTAAACATTTCCGAGAGCCCAACGTTTCAAGATTAATCCTTGGACTACATCCTACTGGTGACAAATCTCTGGGAAAACTAAAAGTCTTGTACCGAAAACTGCATTTTTGATGAATTCAGGTAGTGCGTTGCGCACGCGCAAACGATTCTTTCAATATTTTCAAGAAATCCACAGAAATTGCGGTTATATCAAACTTACACAAGTTTTTAAAAGTTGAAACATCCATCGTAAAAAAATTGACGAGAAGTAAAACGTATTCCTGTAGAAACAATCCCGAAAATTATTTCATATGGTATGAAATACATGTGTTTCTTAAAATACGTCTGCGCATGCGGGGCCTCCCTTGTTGTGCATGTACGACCCACAAGATCTTCGTCGAGAGAACACCATCCCTGTTTTTTCAGTTCCAAAATTATTCAAATGAGATCGGAAAATTTTCCAGACAAGTTTAGAACAAATATCGGCCATGTTTAATTCCTTGCACATGTGTGTATGTGAAAACTCCTCCTGGTAAATGTAAGTTGGTACAAAGTGTTGAGGATGGTCCGTCCATTCCTTCTACATTCCTTACGACACACAAACTAAAGCTTAAAATTCAATCACGCATGCGCATGCATCCTCTTACGTTTGTAAATGTTGCAAGTAATGTCGTTGTTGTATAGCCACAGTGAACTCCCGTCGCTTATATCGAGAAGGAAGGTACCGCTATGTGATGTGCGTGCGCGGCGTCACCAAAAACCAGACAAAAAATCACCTTCACACATATATGTAGATATGTATACATTAAAAAAACATACTAAATCTTGTATCAGATCCGCTAAGTCATGAAATACCTGCGAGAACGGATCCTCAAGACTTGAATCTGCGTACAAAGCAGTGAACGTCTCCATTATACATCCAGGTTTCGGGAGAAATCCAATCATTAGGTATTCATATATCGCTACTATGTTGGCGGCCATATTGGTGAATGTGCTAACACATGTTTTGTCTAGCTCTGTAAAAACCATGTAAAAATCCTGCCCAGAAAAGTTAAGATACTCGTTCGGTGAATTAGAAGTCGGTAGAATAACACTCGTATAAACATCCTCTGTCGAAATATCCGAGAAAGACACTACATGAATACATCCCACCTCTTCCCTCGCACCAACATGGCGACCCGCCTCTGTTCCTTCTAATGACACGAGGTGTACAGGGCGGGAATTGTTCAGTCATATGTACAGAAGACAAAAGTTGAAATTGAAAAAATTGGTATACGATATCAGATGAGTGCAGTGTGCACTGGCAGAGAGTAGTCATATGGATATGCTAATCAGTTTTTGTGTGATGGATATGTAAGTATAGCGAAGGTCACCGCGACAACCAAGGTAAGCCCCATCTCACACAGCCCCTGGCCGCGCTTTGTGTGCCGTATAGACAAAATACAGAGACAAATGCATCATGGCCAACGCATGCACAAATCTCTATTGCACCCTAGTAGTTTAAACCGGAACAAAAGCGAGAAATAGCAGGTTCATGTGTATGACACCTTATCATGTGAACACTATATTCAAATAATTTCTATTTAAATACGCAACGAAAATTATCTTAAATACACCTTGCAAGAGAATGACCCAGACACGCCAAATGTTTGAATTGAGTCTGCATTTTCCCAGATTTTTTTTATCTTTGTATAGAGGTGTACATAAGTGTGTGTCTGGTTGTTGGCCGGTCTACAGCTAAGCACATGTACACTGTTACACAGAGGCTATGCACAGTGTCCCGCCACACTCCACTTCACACCGCCTGCTACACAAGCCATAGGTAAAAAGTGCACACAATGTGCAGACGACAGGCTTCACAATGACATGTTGTGCACATACTTGCTAGTTACCTGATAGACATACCAAGACATTCAGCCTTGAACCGCTTCCGCAGACAGACAGAACCCACCAGACAACGCTACCAACCTCCTCCCAGAACCGGTGTATGCTAAACCAACCTCCCTCCCAGTCCTCTTCCCTTAGCACTGCATGCGTGCAGCAGAGTCCACAATACACTACACAAGATGGTCGTAGGAACATCCGTAGCTACGCAGGCAAACGCCAGGCATGCACCAAAATGTTCCCCATGTGACAAAGGCATCTCAACACGCCCGCGGTAACAAAATGTGCATAATGGTCGCGCCCTGTGAATACGACAGTGCACCCCAAGTGAGGGAACGACAGTGGCGATGATGTACCCATTTTTTGGCGGGATCTGATGCGCAGAGCATGTGCTTTCTTACCCAGACACTAAGTGCGCGCATGCGCTTTTAAAACAATTCGTACTGTTTTTAAATTTGTCCACATTATGTTCCTTTATTTTTCAAGATTTTTTTGTTTTTAAAGTGTTAATGAGTCGGCGAAACAACCTGTTTGAATAACGAAACTTTCTATAGACTTAATATAACATACCTTACCCTCTTCAAATCCTTATCAAAACGATTTCAGTGGCGGCCATTTTGCTGAGCTCACCCTGAAATGCGTGAGGTGATCGCGGTTGTTTGTCACGTCTTACAAATTCCACATCGAGTCACATAACTACACATTTACACAGCGGTTCTATTGATATGCATCCAAACACTTATACACAAAAGTTTCCCACTTACGCCTTTGTTATGGAAGTGCAGCACTTTGTAATACATGCACGCCCAGTATTTCTCTTTCAAATCCTGACACAAAAATGTCCACGACCGGCTAAAGAAGAATTCAATATATCCTGTGTATACTTGGTACAGTACTCCATATCATTATTGCGCACACCTCGCCTTGTAGCCACACTATACCTCAATGTAAAAAAAAACTTTTAACGACTCGAAAGATTGAACAATACTGCAGAATGGCACATGTGTATAGGCCGAGACTCGAGGCTACAGGCAGTATGTACAGAGAAATGTTGCTACACTCGATGGCAAGAGAGCTCAGAAAACAAGGGGAACGACTCATGTTGGCCTAGACAGAATTATATCCGGCCCCTGTAAAGCACGCCACAGAAGAATAACCAACCAACAGCTTTTACAATGGTAACACCAGCAGTTCTTTCAAAAATATATATCTATAATTTTTACTGTGAGGAAAGTTTTGGTTGAGTTCTCGTTAGCCCGAGAGTAGAAGATAAGTGGTAATGGTACGGGATTGTATACTAATAAATGCAAAAATGTCAGCACTATAGGATTGTCCCACACACTACACACAGCTAAGTAGGGCACAGTGTTGACTTGTGCAGTCGGAGGTTGTATGTCATTGCATAGTTTACTTCACTGCTGTCTGGGCTGTAGTTAAAACCCACACAATCTACAACGGAGGCAGATTAGGGGAAACTGCATGTCACTAAACACCAAAATATATTCTTCCACGCCACAGCCTAACCGCAACCAGCTACTGCATACATACATACCGTGCGACTCAATAGTCAACCCCAGTGTAAAATTGCTCAACCATATGTGAGGTAATAACACTGAAATTAGGCCAATTCGAAATTTAAATTTGATGGTCGTCTGTCAGCTACCTGTGTGTGTACAACCCAACAGAGGCCCTGAGTGGATATACAACCAGCCATGTACACTATCTGGTGCATGGCATTTGAATATAAGACGGTGTTTGTCTGTACCGGCGCCCCAGACATGGTGAGTCAGGTCCCCCACCCCATAACCCTACCAGCAAACACCTACCAGGTCTTCAGGTCACGGTGCATATCATTAGTGTGTGCACACACAGCACTGCACTAGGTACCGCCACACAGAGGCATGTAGCCCATTGAATTAGAATCCCTCACCGCTATTGGTGGACTGGTGACGGTCACACCCAGAGTGTGCAGTCTGTGAAATAAGATGGTCCGTTGTCTGGCAAGTGGTAGCGCTGCACTATGATTTAACACACTTGTTAGGATCTAGCTGTGATCACTGTCGAGGGGAAATCTTCCACCTACCCTGCTGCACACTGCATTGGTACGCATCCTTCTCCCACAATACAAGCCTCCATGTTTTTTCGCCATTTTTTCCTGCCGTCTGCCTGGAAGTGTTGCATAGTGTATAGTGTCTCCCTATCTCCCTCGTCAGTACTGGATCATAACAAATTGACCTCCAAACAGGAGAGTTCAGCGGCAGATTTTGCTAACGGTTTTTGGCGCGAAAGTGTGGTGGCGCGAAAGTTCAAAAACTGTGCACATTACTTATTCTTGTGCTGGTCATACTTGGGCAGACAAGATTGGAGTATACAACAGTATTGTTACAAAAGTTTACATGCAAGTGAAGTTTTGGAGACATTCTTGGCCCGTGTTGTGTAACACTCTGGAACAGTGGGTGTCTACTAAGGCGGGTTATGTAGGTGCACTGCCTTATTCTACGCTCAGCAATTTTTGTCTTCACGCTCAGGTTCATCTCAAGCTTTCGAGGAACATACAAAGCATTGTTTTGATCTAAAGGCTATGATTATGTGTGGGGTGTGCTGGCGGTGTACATCACTGCATTACATGTACCTGTTATCCTTGTCTAGCCAGGAGTTAAATGTACGACGTAATGTAACCGTTTACACATGTAACCGTTTACACATGTAACCCAGATATACACACAGTTCTAACCCCAATGTTGAATTTGATTTTTGTGAGCACATGATATTATAACAGATTTTGAAATCTTGTTCGTAGTCTGTATTTTTATGGAAAGCTTGATAATCTAGTATTATGCAATGTTGCCACATTTAAGGACGTTTATTTGAGATAATCTGGTTTTAGGATATGTTACTGTAGAGAAATTTCAAGATGTTTATTTTAGATAATTTTGGTTTTATGAAAACATTTCAATTTGATACTCATTTATAGTATGTGGATTTAGAAAATATTGAAGTACATACAGAAGATACATTTTGTATTTTGTATACATGTGTATTTATTTTTTTAGTTCATATTTTATAAGGATTGAAACAAATATCCAAAATACTTTTCAGATTCACATCAGTTTCTTGTCATTGAATGACATATTTTTTTTGTCCAATCTATCTCTGCTTCTTGTCTTGTTTATAAACTTTGTGAAGTGAATGTTTTAAACTGTTGCTTCTATCAAAGTTATATTCTAACAAAAGGTTTGGGCTCCGGGTTAATTTTATAAACTTGTTAGAAACTTTTTGACATCATTTCTCAAGTTATCCAAATAAGGTATATGAGGTATTTTTAAGAATTTACACCAATATATATGATATGATAATTTCACTGGATTATGAGTCATTTTACACAGTGTTTGTGCGAAATGGTTTTTGTACTTATAGTCTAGAAGTAACATGTACCCAAAAAACTCTACAATATTAGTAGGTGAAATATTCAACACCAATATGTGTAGTTAACTAAATTTTGATTCAAATTAATTGAAATAATTAAACGAAGAGCATGTGTTGGTGGACAGACACAAGACAACACTGTAGTTAAACAGAATAGGAATCTGTAATAAGATTCAGTAGAATTTTCACAAGTATTGGTTTAACAAAACCTACACAGAGGGTTATAAAACAATAGCTAGCTGATATAAGAATAGTTTCAATATATTTAAGTGATAACTAAAATAGACCAAAATCAACTTATCAGTCTGTAACCAAATATATATGGCGAGTTTTAGGATTTTATATTTACTTTAATAGATATCTGGCGTTTAGTATAATTTTGACTTATTGACATCATTCGCTATACACCACCAAATGAATGAATTAGATATAAAATAGTTCTTTAAGGTTTCCAAATATTTCCCTTCCCCAAAATTAAGACATCAGACTCGTACTTATATGTAACCCCACTTCCCCAAACAACTCTGTCCAAGTTTTAACTTATAGTTCTATGCCTGCCCCAAAGTCTCCTTTTCCAACCTTTCAAACACTAATGTATTACGTATAATTTGTTTCTGTTATAAAACTACAATTTACCTGATCTCATTATACAAATCTACCATTTGAACCTATCACATTTTGTCCAAAAATATGTGGAAAAAACAAATAATAAAAATAAACAAAATATCATGAGTATTTGAAGGTGTTCTTCCTGTGTGTTATATTTATCATGTATAATTACCCCACTGTCATTAGCTCATCCTCATTTTAACATGTGTAAGGTAATATTTTAAATAATAAAAAGACAACAATAATTAGAACATTTCAATTCATCTTTCCTATATGCATCATATTTGTAATTTATCTAATATTTACCTTTTTGGTACCCTATATAAATTATTATCATCTTCATAATATCTTATTTCCTTTATAGAATTTCAAATAAATGGAACTATTAAGAAATCTGAAGACGAATTCCTAAAAGAAAATCATTTTATAAGGATGCTTTGTTTACCAAATGGCAGAGCTGTAGTGTGGGATTTAAAATCTGCATAATTTATTAATCCCATGTTCTGTCTAGACAGTTTTAATTATTCAAGCAATGGAGAGGCAGGTCTGATTTCAAGCCCAGCCATTGGGGAATATCTTTAAAACAGGTATGATTATTGAATCAATTCTTAAACACACAATCCAACCTTGTCGGCCATTTTTATTTAAATGTTAAGTTGGGAAAATCAATATTATAAATTCTTAAAAATATTCCAGGAAAATGTAATTTTTCCTTTTATTTTAATGTTAATCATCTGTTTTTTCTATTATGTAAGAAAAGGTAATTGATATTATTTCTTATTTAAATGCTTTTCAAAATATATTTTGCTTTTATATAAATTTATATTATAATATTTATTTAATAATTTTGATTTATATAAATTAATAATTTAAGGCAATACAAATTCCAAAAATAACACAGATGTTGATGTAACCAAAGCTTAGTCTGAATATTACCTTTGCAGTAAACCTTTAAAAGTTAGTCAACTTAGAGTTATTTCAGAGGTTACCTTAGGGAATCATTCTGAAGGTGGTCTCTGAGAATTTATTCTTTCCCATACCAAATGACCTTGACTTATAAAAATTAATTGGCAGTTTACTGAATTGAATTTAATATCAGAAACTTAATGTCCTGATGGTGTTAGGGTTTTATGAATTAAATATAAACTGAAGATTTCCTGGTTCAATAAGTTCAAAAACATGTATTGACACAGATTTGTCCCCGAGAAATATCTGGGAATTTGTACGTAATTATTTTAATTAAAAGTGAGTTTCTCTCCCTTGGTCTTTTATTTGATATCAGGGTTTACAATATTCATTTTTTGTCAAATTGAAACTGTATATTTTATTTTCTCTAAATATGTACTTTAGCCAATACTCCTTTTAGATATGAAGAAACAAACAAGGAACCTTTTTGAATTTATTAATTCAGCATATTTTATAAAGCGTTACATTTGCCAAGATATAAATTATAAAGTAAAACATTCAGAACGTACTGAACACGAGTTTGATGTCTACTGTAATTAAGATAATTTTTAATATTGTCTCATGTGTAACAATTTAATTTTCTCTGAAAAATCTTCATGAAACTCAATACCATTACATTTATAAATATCTATTTACTATAATTTTTTATTGTTTTTTATATCCATTTGAATTATTGTAATATGATTAAGTATATCAAATTTTAATTCTTATAGTGTTGTATTCATTTATTAATTCTTATTTAAAATTTAAACATAAAAAGCAAAGAGTTTTAGTTCTGTATACAATTAAAAGTGACATATTTAGTTTGTAGAGAATATTGAGAGATAGGTAAGGCAATATAGTGAAATCTTCCCTGCTCACCAAGACACAACAGTGTGCAGTTTTTCTATAATTTATTCCAGACAGGGGAGACAGTAGATTAAATCAACCTAAAATTACACGTTTGAGTTATCTGCCCCTAGCCAAATATTATCAATACGACTGTTGGATGGGGTCGTTTAAAGTTAAACAGTTATTTGTATAAAACAAGACATAAATGAAGCATATTTCAAAATTCAAACATATAACTTAATCGTTAAAAAACATTTAAAAAGAAAATGAATGAATGCTATGATGCATACAAATTTCACAAATATCGGTACAAGGTTAGTTTTGTTTTTGTTTGCACTAACTATGATAACATTCACTTAAACTGGGTCATATCTGAGGCATTCTTCCCTGATAAATCATATACATATTCAATCATGCCTCTTTCAATAGGAAAAATATGTCAAGGATGTTTTTTATCCTTACAAATTTTATTGCATTTTTCATGTAACCATCCATTTTTTATGTATTTTTTAAGTAATCCCTCAAATGAAAAATAAACTTGTAGTCTTGCGTGACTCAGGTTTGATAATCAAATATTATTCCATCAAATTGTTATAGTCTTTAACATAGTAATACTTATGAAGACATTACAAAACTATCCCTTATAATGAATTAAATTGCTTAAATGGTTAAAAGAAATATTTCTCTAAATTTTGATGATGAATGATTAAGACTGTAATACTGGAATAAGAAAAACATCTACTTTTGATGAGTTTAGATTTTAGTACACACACATTTTTGTGTAGTGTAATATCTATGTCCGTGTTTTTTTATTTGTAAAACACAAAATGTTCACCTCTCTTTACTCTTCAACCTTGAGTTATGGAGCGAATTCAAACAGCATAACAATGACAAGAAGCATTGGTAAGTATACAATATTTAAAAGGGAAAAATTATGCAAAGAAAATTT